ACCACCAGTACAATAACAGTTAATATTAGGCAGTATAAATAAAATAAATACATAACACATAATAATTTATACAGAAGAATAAGCACATGCTTGAAAAAGATATTTTAATCCTTCCCCTATATATGGGAAAAAAGGAAGAGCAATGCAAGGAAATAAACAGCAGAGAGGAAAGGAAGGAATTGAAATTGTAACAGCATAAGTTGTCAGGTCTTGGGTGCTTTCCTAAAGCACCACTATCTTCCACTGATATCCAACTGTCAACAAGGTTGAGACTTGCAAAATTTCTCTCAGATTTATATATCACAACCAGGAGAATTTGCAGATTAGGATGTTGCATGCTTTGGTAGCCTACCAGTCTCAGTCAGGGAGACAGTCGTTATCTGGCCAAGTACAGCCTGGAAAACTACTGTGAGATCCAGCTAAGATGTTCAGGAGCGGAAAATCATACAGTGAAATAGACAACCTAAGAAAGCTCATGACATCACACTTTCTCAATCTCATTCTTTTTGCCTAGACAAAATCTAAATGATGTTCCTAGTCTGTAGTTTCCAATAGAAGGGAACAGGAGACCTCTAGTGGCCAATCACAGTATTGGCAAGCCTGTATTTTCTCAACTGCTCTTATCAAATTCAGAAATAGCAGGTCTATTAAGCTTATCACAATCATCTATTCTTAAGAAGTACTGCAGAAATACTTCTTTCTAAATCATTAAGCAATATAGAGAAAATCTCTTCTGAAATACGCTCTAGTTACAAAATACAACAGAGTTATGTATAGGGCAACTCTGAACATAGGGTGTTAGATGCAATTTGCTTTGTTAAAACTTTGTATTTAGTTCTTTTGTGTTACAAGTAATGAACTTGTCTCACTCATCTGCCTCAACAAATCTGTCTCAACACAGTGGTAGTGCATGGAGCCAGTACAACCAGCATGGCACGGTGATTAGAGTGTCGGACTGGGGAACTAGAAGACCTGATTCTAATCCCCATTCAGCCATAAAGCTCACTGGATGAACTTGCACTGATCACAGGCTCTCAGTCTAACTGGGCTGGGCTGTTGTTGGGAGAATACATGGAGCTGGGCAGAACTATGTAAGCTGCCTTGCAAAAGGAGAGAAGTAGGATATAAATACAATGTAATAATGTTAAAAACAACAAACCCAACAAAAACATGCAGGTGATCTAAAACATTGTAACATTGCTTTACAAGCACCTAGGCTGAAAACTTTTTTTAATTCAATGAGAGTAGATATCAGAGGAATTTACGAAATATGCTGCCGAGTCAATACTAAAGTTTGAAAGCAAGCAATTAACAATGCAATCCTATATACAGCTTCTCAAAAGTATGTCTACTTGGGTTTAATGGAGCATTCTTCTAACTAAATTGGATATATGACTATGCTATAACTCTTTTCTACTTCAGCTGCCCTATTTTGAAAAGTGAATCTCCTATTTATTATCTTTAAATGACAAAGAAAAAGTACTGTACATTAATTCAATTGACTTAAATTAATGTGTTACTTATAAAACTGGCCTAAAGTTCAAATGTAGATGTTATACCTTGAATTTTATGAAAATAACTATTCAACTGATGCTGTCCAAATAGCTATACATGGAATTCTCATTCACAACCTGCATGGAACCTCAGCACTATTTTTAATGTAATGCAGTTTGTATTTACTTTACAAGCGGTTTACAGAGCAAATCCCTGACAGTCTGCAACCAGTGTCTCCCAACCAAGCTGAGTGAACAGAATGAGATGGATTCAGACTGCATACACACTGGACTCATGGAAGAGGTCTTCTCCTCACAGCAGCTCCTCAAGCCCTCTGTAAATGCTACATAGGGGACAGTGCGCTTATGTGCTGAATGCAGGAAGGTGTGGTGCTTTGAGAGTAGCAGGGAATCTCTCAGAACTGAGTTCAAATCTCTTCAGTAATTAGAGCTCCAGTCACCAAAAGTGTCCATATCCGATTTTCAGGGATCCACTCTCCCTTCCTTAACACTGCTTTCGCATTTAAGCAGTGTCCCTGGACTTCTATGTTGCACCTTTGGGAGCTGATAGGTCTACAGTGGAGGAAAGTCTGCTCCTACCAATCTCATTTCACATATCTAAGGCTGTATCTCACTTAGTTTTTAAGCAAGCAGGACTGGCAATATATACTTGGGCAGTTTTTACCATTTAGAGGGGAAGGGGGAGGGAGAGAGAGAACACATTAGCTATTTTATGACATTAAAACATGTGTTATATAAAAATGTCTTATCAGGATATAGCTGAATTTTAATAAATTTTTAAATTAAGTTTTAGTTATATAATCACACTGAATGAAAACAACAAGTTTCAGAGGATCCAAAATGACAATATGCTAGTGTTGAACATGTCCAGTGGTAATGAGCACCAGCATAATGGGAAGCTAGTGCTTGATGGCACAACTTAGAAAACTTGTCAAAATTAACACTTCTAGAATAGAACAAATAAGTGGAGTTCTCTTCTGCTAGTTCTGTTTGTCTCATTCTGGAGTTGGTAGTTTTGCTTAGTTTCCTGTTTTGCTAGTAGTAATTCCTTCTAATGCCACTACACTTCCAGATACTGCCCCATGTTGTACAAAGAGCAAATGCAAATCCAGAAGATACTTAGGAATGTCGTTTAATATTGAAGCAATGTGGATGATAAGAGTGTTAGACAGGGTTGAGACTTGTGTTCAAATTTTCACTAAGCCATGAAGTTCAATGGATGACTTTGGGCCAACTGTCATCTCTCAGTCCTACTTAACTACCCAATAGCATTGCTCTGATGAAAAAATGGAGAGGGGGAGAATTATGCCACCCTGGGCTTTTTGCAGGAAAGGTGGAAGCAAAGTTTGTTTTTACTTTGTCCAAGAATTTATAAAATATTTTATGTATGAGACATTAAGATAGCTCAAATATAATTCAAAATATTATTTAGCAATGAAGTGTTATCTTCCATGATCTTAATGTTGCAGCACTTGCCCTTCCCTAGCTGGATCCTTACATATCTGCGTTCTGCTTTGCCCAAGCTCTTGTTGGCACTTGATTGGGTTTTAATTTATGCCTTTATTGTCATCAGCTATTGGATCTGCTTCTTTGTTTTGTTTTCAATAATTTTTACTTTCTGTTCCATTGTAGGAAACAGCTTTATGACTTTTGTTGGCCACTTTGGAAACCTAGACTGAGAAGAAAGACAGAGTATAAAACTGTTAAATTGTTTTAACAATTTTAAATCTGTTTTAAATCTGCTTAAAACAGTTTTAAATCTGTTAAAAATGTTCTAATAAATAAATAAATAAACAAATTTGTGCTGCCATCTTCAGAATCTAACTCTATGCATATGCCTAATGGTCATTAGTTCTGGAGTCCTCCTAGAGTTTCAGCTGTTTTTTGACACAATCTGTTTGAAAATCTGTATTCTCTCTCTGATTCTTTGATGATTTCCCAACCTTGGATTCCCAGAAATGGTTTGACTAAAATCCTCTTTGTCCCCAGCCAGCATGGCTAAAAATGGGAGTTACACTCCAGTATCATATGAGGATCCATGACTGGAAAAGTCTTACAGAATGTTTCTTAAACACCTCTATTAAAGCATTAATATACATAGCATCAAACCAACAGGCATATAGATATATGCATGGATACCTGTTTTCCCATTTAAAATACACACGTGCAGAGAGAAACAAAGGATTTGGTTTTGCCTTTGTGAATCTGAAAAGGAAAATCAGCAATTTATCTTAACCAAGAGATGAGCAGCAATTTACATACACAGGTAAAATGTGCATAAACCTGTATAACTGATCTGATGGAACATATATTTTGCACCATGCTAGGTTCTCTGAGAAATGTAGATGAATCACATGATCAGTGATTACTGCATGGATGTGGAGCATCAACCATGCAGAAGCTTTTCACCATTCATATGCTTTATAGCCAGTAGTTTTGGTCCTCCTCTAATCTTCCCACTGTATTTTAGTAGAACATGTATCAAATATGACATGCATACATGCCTAACTTGTTGATTTGACATGTAGGTAAGCCTAACTTACAGATGTGAACTCCACAAAAATTTAACAAATACTTATTTCATTCTTTCTTTATTATAGTGATATCCTGTCTTTATTTCTTTTCAAGGAACTCAAGGCAGCTTACATAATTCTATTTCTCCTCTTAATCATATCCTCACGACAGCAACCCTGTGAGATAGGTTTGGTTAAGAGTTTGTGACTGGCCCAAAGTCATCAAGCACTTTATGAGCTTCCATGAGATTTTCTTAATTATGGTACCTCACATCCTTGGAAATCCCTCTCCATGGAAGCATGCATGGGTTCATTATTTCTGGTTTTAAAGAAGACACAAGACTTTGAAAAATTTCAACCTGCTTTTGAGTAATTAATCTACCGTGCCTGAAGAATTTTAACTGTTGCTGGTTTTAAATTATTATTTGTTAAAATAATGGTTAAATATGATTTGAATAAACTGCCTTGTGGAAGGCAGTATGCCCTGAAAAGAAGATTATTTTGATGTTGAATTTCAAAATCATGCTATACAAACTCTTTTAAAATAGTGACAATAAAATCCTGTACATGTCTACTCAGTCATAAGCCACGCTAAGTTCAATGGGGCTTAAATAAACATTTAAATAATTACATTAATTTACCCCATAAATAGGTAACAGATAATAGCCCAAGGTGCATGTTTTTTCATGACAGTACAAACTGTACTGTAAACTTTGGTGGTGAAAATAGTAGCAAGCTGATGGAATAATCAACAATCAGTGAACAAGTAAGAGGATGGGACAAAGACATTAAGTTAAAGTTCATCTACATGATGAGCAATGGATTGATTAACACAGGCATTCTAAGGATACCATCTACATGTTGAGAGCAACCGTTCAAATTACTTGGGGCTTCAGTTCTAAACATGCCCCACATATTCTTATCCAGAGCTAAATTTTATTACTTTCAATGAGAGAATTAAGAATGAGCTTACCTCCTTCCCAGAAGCTCCCTGCACACAAATGTGGCACTGCTCACTGCAAAAATACTTTGTAGTAGTTGGGAAAATCAGTGCATATAACATAGCCATCCCAGCCTGGTGCCATACAGTATTGGCCACACTGGTTGGGTATGGGAATTGTAGTCTAACACAACTGAAGCGCACCAAATTGGGGAAGACTGATATGCCAGAAGCTTCCACCTAGAGCAAGTTTCTGGACAGGATGATCAGAGCTTAATACTTTTCAGACCCTCAGCCTAATAAACTAACTTGCATCCCAGTCCTAACTGTTCAAGAGCTGAGTTATTATATGATTGTACTGTTACCATCTATGCATTTCTATATTTCTGAAAAGTATTTCCAATTTTATCTATTATTTTCTAACTGAAATGTTTGGATAATATAACCTGCCTGATTAAATATTTTGCTAAATCCTGTAATAATGGGAATAGTTTCAACAACAATTTTCTAATGCGAGGAACATGTTTATGGATATCTTTCAATGAAATAAATGTTAATTACTTACAGGTATATGGATTTGGGATCACAATCATTATCCTCTCTTCTACTGTAGCATCCTTTCACCTTCAGTCTCCTTCTTCCAAACATTATAGTTCACTACCCTGGAAAGTTCTCACTGTTAATATCTGTCCTTGGTAAAAAAGAAAGCTTAACCTAGTAATTTCAGATTGGGGTTTTTAATAGTAGAGGTTGCCTAAGTCCTTTAAAAGAAGTTAGTGAATCTGAGAACACTATTAAGAGCTTGCAACTCAAATCCTTCAAGTCCTCTCAAGTATGAAGCAGAAGTATTATCACCCACATTTTAGGTTTAGCCCATATTATGCATATAAAGCACCCCACTCATATGTAACATGCAATTTCAGAGTTTCATAGTACTAAACATCAGAACTGATATACTGCAGCATATTCCAGCAAAGGCTAAGCTCTTTTATGTTCTACGTGACTCAACAGGAGACTATTAATATTTCTACTGAAATTAATTGTGCATTACTTAACATTACTTGGATTGTGCCCATCTTCTTATCTGAGCCAATTTAACTTCAATAAAGTAAATACCAAATTTTAATTTCTATGCACCTAAATCTGTAGTTAAAATTATTCAATTTGCCAAAATCTCTTTGTAAAAAAAGTTGGTAGAACTTTGAATACAATGCAAGCTGTCCCAAAGTAAGGATGCAATATACTGCAGCTGTTACTGATTTATTACTTTGATTAAAGGAAATAAATTACATAATTATGATCATTTACCTACTTCACAATAAGGTTGTGATCACCCTTCAGTGTATTAATCATGCAGACTACCACTGAATCTAAACTCTCAGATCCACTAGCTGCACAAGGTTAGGATAGGATGATGCCTTTACACGGGGGGTTGTTAACTCTGGTGGCATAAAGCTCAGTAGGCATAGAAGTTGGTGAGGTATAAGTCCCAAATCAGGACGTTTAGGGCAGCACAGAGGTAATCCAGAGCCCCATCATCCCCAGAACAGGTCCTTGTATCAGTTCCATCAGTTAAGCTAGGCTGGATCTGGTGTAGATAATTCCCATCCCACCACCAATACTTATGCTCAACAAGGGGATTTTGAAGAACAAAGTTCTCCTAGGCTAAAAAGTCCTGCCCACACACCCCCCCCCTCCCTTGGCCAGTGTGTGCTAGAAAGCTTTGGAATTCCTCTGCACATTGGTTTCCACTCTAGTATTAACTGCAGGTTAACTATCTCTCCACTTTACCAATTGCACAACTCTTTTGTTTGACAGGTCCATGCTTTTATTTGCTACAGTGCAAAAAAGTGTTTTCATAATAACAGTAACAATAATGTATAGATCCAATTTCAAGTGTTTAAAAACTATCACACTTCATTAATCTTTAGTACAACCACCTGGTAACACAGGCCAGAATTCCTGTCCCCATATTGTAGACTGCAAGCTGAGTCCAAAAGAACAGAACCTTAACCAGTAAATTTTTGAAAGTCTTGAAATTTAAACCAGGAAGTTCTCTTTACATCAGAATTACAGCAACTTACAGTGTAATCTTATACATGTCTACTCAGAAGTAAGCTTCACTGAGTTCAGTAGGACTTACTCCTAGGTACAGTAAAACTGTATCAGTAGTGATCATCCAAAGAAATCTGCAGTAACAAAGTTTTCTCTCCTATCACCAGCAACAACCGGACGAAAACATTCCCTTTGTTCCATCACAAAACAGCTTTTTAGAACTGGTCTATGTTAACAGCTTACAATACAATGTATTGTGTGTGTGGTGGGTTGTGCTATTTGTGGCAAAGGAGGAAAGCCCTATACATGAGCATTTCCTAAAATGTTACTGTTTACCAAGACACAATTAATTAGCAATGGAAAGTGTTCATGTAACTCTGGTGAAGACCAGATTAAAAGCAAAGCTAAATCCTAGCACCAGCGAAAAGCATCAACTTCAATAAATACATCACTGTTGTTATTGTTTTTATTTTTATATACATAACTACATTTTAACAGAGTGGTATTGATGCTTTATATCTTCATGATATGACATCACTAACAGCAGACTTCCTTGTCTTTCAACACAATCCTGTGCATCCTTGTTCAGAAGAAAGTCTTACTGATTTAAGTGGGCTTTATTCTCAGGTAATTGAGTATAGGATTGCAGCTTTACACGTATAACCATCTTTGAGTTAATACATAGACAAAGCATTGCCTGTAATCTAGCAGTCTTTCAGAATCACTCCTTGGGAAATATTTCTGGTGCAAAGTTCTACTACTTAGATGCTAACATTGTGGTAAATGTGATAATTAGGCTATTTCTTTTCAAATTATTATTATCACACCAGTATCTTCAGCCTGTTCTCAAACAGAGAGGGAAATCAACACTGGAAGATGATTGCCTAAGCTATGGAAATAATTCCTTCAGAGGTGCAGTATTAGCTTCTGACTACAACTTTCAAGAAACACAGGAAAGTGATCTCGGCAATACACAGAAGAATGGGGTGGAGCAAGCAGCAACTGAGTAGAGGAAGAATGAAGCAGGAACAAGGCTTTTGTCGTCTATGCTTAGCTGCACAATCAAAGAACACTGCATTACTGGCATACCAGCAGTGCTGCTAACATAAACAATAATAACCCATCTGCTCTTTCACGTGGCAATGAATTTTAGAGCTCATGAAAATTTTGCACAGAGACTGCTGGGCAGTCAGCCTAAGCCCTGAAACAGCCCACTGAAGAAACTCTCATTATACCGAAAAGGACTTGTGTCCCACATATATAGGTCTCCCCAAGGGATGATAACTGCTACGGGGAGGTGAAGGTGGTAGAAAAGAGGCATCACTGTCTTTGGCAGATAGGTTTTGCAAGGTTCTACACTGCTTCAAATCCTGTTTAACCAAATATGACAAGTGGAAGTAATGATTATCACCAGACATGTGCATATTGCCTGTTTTGTGCCATTGTCAGCTTTCTGAAATAACAATTTCTTTTTCCAGCCTAAACAACATGGGGGAAGACTTTACCATAGTCATACAACAACTAGGCAAGAGAGACAGTAACTTGCCCAAGGCCAACTTGTAATTTCTAAAGCTATGACATATGAGGATTTTGTTTTTGTTCATTAATCATGCAAACACATCCTGTTTGCAATCTAAACATGAGCAGAAAAGGGTTTTTTTTCCCTCTGGGAGACATATTTGCAAATTATTGAATTTTTAATTACACGAGAAAAAGGCATAGTTTTAAAAATATGCTTTGTGAAATGAGCATTTTTCTAAAAATGCACATTTCTACACTTTAATCAATGGAACACTATGTTTGAGAAAAACAGGGAGAAAGGCACAGTTTTTCCCATTTCAAATGCCCACTTTTCCCATTCAAACAAGCTGAAAAACAGGTTGAAAACAAAAATGGGAGCAAGCCCAAGCAAGTTTTGGGGTGATTTTCAAGGATTTAGTCAAGCATGAAAATTGCTGTTTCCCTCATCCCTATCCATATTTAAGCATGGATTCACATCAGTTTCCTACAAGCTACTATTTGTCAGTCAAACTGGAGTTCAGGATATTTTCCACTAAGGTATTTTACATCAGTAACAGGTAAGATTGCGGCACTCCTGGCTTCACTGATATTGATGCTATGGCTCAGAGTCAATTCATATGTGTCATGCAGTGACTGGTAGCACTGTTGGAATGTATCAGATACCCAAAGTAAGTTTTGTCTGTCTTACACTGCAGAATTCTTTGTTAATCCATGTACAGCTCCATTAAAACATTTCATTTTTCAGCCTCAGACGCTATCATGAACTCCTCAAATTAACAATACCACTTTGAATGAATTACTTTCATTACTCCTGAAGGTGTAATTATTGTTTGGCCTCCAAAAACACCTATGAGTAAACCTAACTTATATAAAGATGACACTGGCCAGACATTGTTAATAGCAGGATGGAGTGTTATTTAGCAATTTTTTAAAGGAAGAATCTTTACAGATGCAGTATAGTCTCCCTTATCTACACAAATCTTTGGAAAGGTGGGAAATTGGGAAAAGAATGGATCATACCAAACTATAATTTAATCAGGCGTTTAGATTATCTGCTATTTGTGCTGTGAGTGAGAATAAGCTAATAAAATTAGATAATCAGTTTTTCTGGATAAGCATAGCTAAGAAAATAAAAGTTTTGCTACATTATACTACATGGTACTTCATGGGACACAGACAGAAAGACAGAACTAATGTCTTCTACTAAGCATCTCCCATTCACATCATAGAAGGCACAGAGAGGCCATTTTGACTTATGGTTTTTCCCTAAATATTAGGCAAGAAATTATACCCTGTGATCATGACAGAATTGTTGGAGATATTCTTCAACTAATGGAAGAGGTGTAAAGCGAAACTATTCCAACAGTTGATCTGTGGAAGAAAAAACACTATGAATCCAATGTATTTTTACTCTCCAAGTTCCTCTAAATTCCATGAGGCTATCTCCCAAGTAAATGTGCAAGGGACTGCAGGTTAAACAAGTCAAAATACTTTTGTTTTTAAATGTAATAAAATTGATATGCATTGTTGAGAGAAACGTGCAATTTTTTATGTAGAGAGCCATTGTATTTTAAAAGACCGAAAAGTAATGTGAATTATTAGTCCTAGCAAAGGATGGAATAACTTCCTAAAACAAATGATGAAGGCAGCATGTTTCTTTTTGACTTGCTACTTCTAAGATACTTGGTTGAGTCTGTAAAAATAATTTTTGAAATTGAAAAGTTGTTTGAGTTCTGCTTTGTCAGTCATCTTTCTTATAAAAGTTTAACCAATGTCTTCCTGGACAACTGCATACCATAAAGGTCAGAGGTCACCTTGTGGAAAAACAGACCATTGTATTCAAGCCTTTATAACTCAAGGCAAACACAAGAAATCCCATGAAACTTTGGTGCTGCAAAGAGTTCCCTCACTGAATAAACAATAGTTTCCTTCGCAGGAACAACTAACTGTCTGGCCTCAGTAACACCAAGGGCAGAATCCAACATGGTGCTTATGCCACTGTCCCCCTATCACACCCTTCTGCTTTTGCTGCACATGCAGTGGGTTCATTAGCAGGACTCACCACTTGTGCTTCAGAGATTTAGTG